GCCTGGTGCATGGGTGGGGGCCGGCTGGTTTGCCCTGAAGGGTGTCCCGAATCAGGGTGGGGGTCCACACTGGGGTGCCTGGCCAGCCTGGGTGAGGGGATGATGACTGTTTGCAGCTGGTCACACACCCTTCAGGGTGGGGGTCCCCACTAGGGTGCCTGGCCAGTCTGGGTGAGGGGCTGCGGGCTGTTTTCAGGCTGACAGGTTACTGAAGCTCCCAACCGTTCCTTTTCTTCTTCTTTTTTTAATTCTGGGTCAGCTTTAGCTTGGAGGCTTGGCTCCAGCTCTTAGGCCTTGGCTGCTGGAAGCAGGTATCTGGTTTGTTTGGGTTCTATAATCGAAACAGTTTCACCTCCAGCTCTGAGATCCCGGCTGGCTGAAAGCAGGTTTCTAGGGTTTTTTTTAACTTCTATATTTGTAACAATGTTTCAAACTGCAAGCTCAGAGGCCGGCAACGGCAGGCGGGGAACGTTTGAGTCCTCCGTCACTGAAGCAAGCAAGCCTCATGTTCGCTTCAAGCTGCCTGGCTGCCTGCCGCCATCTTGGCTGGCAGTTAATTTGCATATCACCCTGATTAGCCAATGGGAAGGGTAGCGGAGGTATGGCTAATTACCATATTTCTCTTTTATTAGCTAGAATACCCTTATAAATGCTTATTAATGTACACACACGCCTGCACACCCATGCACAAACACACACACATGTACACAAACCCACTCACATGCACGCACATACCCTGAGTATATGTGGTACCTACTTTTGCTGTTGTGTAACTTGCTGCCTGGTGTGTGTGTGGACTGTTGCTGGGAAGAGCAGCCTGTTGTTGAGCAGGTACCCCAGGTGCAGTGTGTGACTGTGGGATGGAAAACCCAGTGACCCAAAGTGGGGAAGGAGCCGCACTCTTGGTTTTGTCAGCACCGTATTCTGTCAGTCAGAGGAGTCAGACCAGGTCCCTGCTGAGTGAGGAGGCGACGTCAGGATGGTGTGGTGGCATGGAAAGCGTGAGGTGCACCAAGACGAGCATGTGTTTGAGTCTAGGGCAGCAGTTCTCAACCTGTGGGTCGCAACCCCTTTGGGGGTCGAACGACCCTTTCACAGGGGTCGCCTAAGACCATCGGAAAACACATAGATAATTACATATTGTTTTTGTGACTAATCACTATGCTGTAATTACGTTCAATTTGTAACAATGAAATTGGGGGTCACCACAACATGAGGAACTGTATTAAAGGGTCGCGGCATTAGGAAGGTTGAGAACCACTGGTCTAGAGTTAGGAGAGCGGTTTTCCTGCTGGGCCTCGTGCCAGGTGCTCTCGGACGGCACCTCCTCCAGTCCTCCCAGCGGGCCCACGGGGCAGGATCTGTTACCAGAGCCCATTTTATGTCAGAAGAACCAAGGCTCAAAGAGGTCAAAGCACGGGCCAGAGCCACACGGGTGCTGAGGAAAGGGGCCAGGATTTCAGTAGGAGCTGTTACTGCAGCCTTTTCAGTGAGGTTCTGGGGAAAATGATGCTCTGTCATCCCGAAGACTGTGCCCTCAGTACGCACGCACACGCCTGGTGGATAGCCCCGGGACACCCGGCCTGCTCGTCCGGGCCGGGAGTACGCAGGTAGGGGAGCCGCTGCTCAGTGGCGGTGATCACTCTCTGTTGGTGCCTCTAAACAGCGGTTCTCAACCTTCCTGATGCCGTGACCCTTTAATACAGTTCCTCATGTTGTGGAGACCCCCAACCATAAAACTATTTCCATTGCTACTTCATAACTGTAATGTTGCTACTGTTATGAATCGTAATGTAAATATCTGATATGCAGGATGTATTTTCATTTTTACAAATGGAACATAATTGAAGCATAGTGATTAATCACAAAAACAATATGTAATTATACATGTGTTTTCCGATGGTCTTAGGCGACCCCTGTGAAAGGGTCGTTCGACCCCCAAAGGGGTCGCGACCCACAGGTTGAGAACCGTTGCTCTAGGAGATCCTGAGATGGTCAGAACCACGTCCTGAAGGGGCTGGGTCATTGGGGGCAATTGCAGAAGTGGTGAGGAGGGAAGTGAGGCTGAGGGGTCTGATGTGCTGTGTGTTAGCTTCCACTCCCCTGTGCACGAGTGTGTTTGTGGGAATGTCCAGGTTGTGTTACACTGAACTTTTTTATGCAGGTGCATATGATGTGTCATCTAAAGTAGAGTCTAAGGACTGTAAGTCATTTTTGTTTCCAAAAATACCCATTTGGGTCTTTCTTTCTAAGAACTGTTGTTGGCTGGCATTTGAATTTTTCTGGGCTTCTGGCGAGTTCCCTGGAGATGATCCGTTGTGATCATCTGTTGTTGAAATGTGCCACTTCATGGGTCACTGAATGGGGGAGTGAGGCTTGCTTGCTTTAAAGACACAGCTCTTCCCTGTGCATTTGCAGACGTGTGCAGAAATCATCGTGGTGCACCTAGGCTACCTGAACTACACGCAGTACATGGTGACGGTGGGATTTGAGGACCTCGATCTGCCCCTCAAGGAAGTGAACTTCACAGTAAGTTGCCAGCTGACGCAGAGGCTCCTGGGCTCCTTTGTTTCTCATCCGTTCTCCTGCTGAGTGGCTGAAAGAACACGGCACTGAAGTTACGTTATTTAGATTGTGAAAGTCAAATACAGTTTTAAAAAGTTACAAGAAAACCACAAATTTATTTAAAGAATTTTTTAGTTTTCACCATACATAGTTATTCCAATACAAGGTGGGGCAAGAGTAGACTTACTGATGTTCGTATGGAAAATAATACAATAATTAATAAATATTAATTATAAATAAGTGAAATCATCTGGCATGTGCCCTGACCGGGAATTGAATTGTGACCTCCTGGTTCATAGGTCGACGCTCAACCCCCGGAGCTACACCAGGCGGGCTCCTGAAGGCATTTTACTGGTTAATGTTTTAAGTTTAATTTCTTGGTGCCTGCACAAGATTTGACATTGTGTTTGCTGATATGCGGTCAGAGTTGGTGCTCAACAATGCTGACCGGAGGAACTGGACCAAAGCCTGTAGGCTTTAATTAGGGAGAAGTGACCAGGCCATGAAGTCAGCCTTGTTCCACGTGTCCATTCACGGGATGACAGGGTGAGCCAGGAAAGGACCCGCGGCTCTTCAGACATCAGAGTAAAGGTCTGCAGCCTGCGTGTTTGCTGGGGTTTTACTCTGTTTCTTTCCTTTTACTTATTTTCTTTTTAGTTTCATTGCCTCGTGTCCAGTGCCTTCAGTAGTATGTGAGCCTGTGTGTACACTTCAGGGTGTCAGGCAAGTGAGTTAAATCTAGTGTCGAAGACTCTCTGCTCTGAAGTGGGTTTTAAATACCTCAGACGACTTTAATTCAGTGCGTTGCGTGTGGGCTCTGTGGCCAGTGCCCTGCTCTGAGCCTGCTGGTGAACTGTCTGTGGCCGAGGCTGGGTGGGTTGCCTCCTGCCCACGTCAGCACGTGGTGCCTGTGTCCGTGGCTCAGCTCCCTGCACACCTGGCGGGAGTGAGATGAACTTACGACTGACTCCATGGTACTTATTTGGTTTGAGATGCATATTTTTATGTTTCATTGAGTCTTTTATAGAACATCCAACCTACTCACAGTTTACATCTTTTTAAAAATCTGTTGTTTCTTTTCGTGGAAAGCTGGTGTTCTCTAATAAAGAGATTGACAGTGTTGTTTTTTATATGAGGTTTAAAAGCCAAATGCTCTTATTATGATTATAGACTAATTTATCTGCCAGGTTCAACATTAGTATAACACCAATGAAAAACTGTTTTCAGATGTAGGTCATTAATATTTTCAAAGTCTGTGTTCTTCAATATTAAAAGAAAATGTAATGTGTTAAAATTTTAGAACATGTAAGAAAGTAGAAGGAAAGAGAACATTTTAAATTACCTAACAGTCTCAGAGATTATTATTTTATTTATTTTAAATCCTCACCTAAGGATGTTTTGCCATTGATTTTTAGAGAGATTGGAAGGGAGGGGGAAAGACAGAGAAAGAGAAACATTGATGTGAGAGAGACATACCGATGGTTGCCTTCCTCATGCGCCTCAATGGGCTGGGGAGTTGGGGTCCAACCCCAGCAGGTCCAGGGGTCCCCAAAGGTGTGGACGGAGTTGGCAAAGAAGGAATGACACGGAGACAACATTCAGTTGATCAGCAGCTTTGCCAGGATCTCCAGTCTCCTATCAATCTCTATTCCAAAGGTTAGGGCGTTTCTTATCTCCATTCCAGGGAGTAAAGATTATGTACTTAAGCATGATTGTTCGTAGTTAAAGTGATTAATTACCCGCCTGGCACTTAGTGAAGGGGTTTTATTCCCTCCCTAACTTCAGGGGAAAATCTCTACCTGGGGAAACAACCTTTCTCGGAGAGGTGACCTTGGACACATAGTGTTAAGAAGGTGAGCAAATATATTAAGAAAAGTATTCCATATGTGCCAGGTCCCTTGAAACAGCAAGGATTGACCGGCTCCCAGCACTGGGGACCAAGCCGGAAACTGAGAGGTACATGCCCTTGACCAGAATTGAACCTGTGATCCTTCAGTCCTCGAATGACGCTCTATCCACTGAGCCAAACCAGCAAGGGCTACAGATAACTATTATTAATAATCTGGTGTACTTCCTTTTTTGTGTTTTATTATTTTAATTTTATTTTTCAACTACAGCCGACATTGAGTGTTATTCTGTGTTAGCTTCAGGTGTACATCATAGAGGGTAGACACATACTTCACAGAGGGGTCTCCCTGACATTTCCTGTCCATCCTCGCCCACGTTCACAGTCATTACTGTGTGTGGCTGCATTCCCTACGCTGTGGAGTACTTCCTTTCTGATGCATTTTCCTCAAACATTTTTCCCCACTTTCCATTTTAGTGGAAGACTTATGACCCCGCATTTTCCCAGATGGAAATCTGGCTCCGGTTCGCCTTTGTGGTGCTCACCTTCATTGTCACTGTAAGTACTGCGCACCTGACAGCCACGCCAGGTTCTGACAAGGGCAGAGTCAGTTTGTGAATTTGGTCATCCTAGTGCAGACCCCACGGGTAGCTTCTCTGAGCTCTGAGACACGTGCCTCGGGCCTGTACACGCCGCACATCTGCTCGGGTGCGCAGGACAGGCGGTGATGCGGTCTCCGTGGCAAGGACGTCCGTGTCGGAACACTAACCCCAGGGCGCTGACTTGCAGGCAGACCCGCATCCGTGGGCACTGACCAGTGCCACTCCCCGTGCAGCAGGAAGGCGCCGGGTTTGCGTGACCTTTCAGTGCAGGTGGTGATGTGGTCTCCGTGGCAAGGACGTCCGTGTCGGAACACTAATCGCAGGGTGCTGACTTGCAGGCAGACCCACATCCTTGGGCACCCAACTCAGATATGCAGAGCAGGGGATTGTGGTCTCAGGCCACGCCCAGGGCTTCCTTCGTGACTGACTGCAGGAACCACCACTTATAGTTGGTCAGTCAGAAACCCTTGCTGTTTCTGGAAACATCTCTGGTACCTGGGATTCTGCTGCACAGTCTGGGCCCAGAGAACAGGCCCGAGAGAAAAGGACAGGGCCTGGCAGA